TACACACGCATTTTCGCAACATAATTTCCAGCCACTAGAGTAAACAAAAACCCTAAATCCAGAATTTTACCATTCACATCTTCTAATTAAGATGACTAAACAAGAGGGCTGAGCCTTTTAACCTGTTTAAAGGTCTCAAGGCTCATCCAACCAGGTCTACAACAATGCAGTCGGTGCCACGTCAGTCTCACCTCATTCTCAGCCTGAACTTGATGCTTTCAAAGATCAGAAAATTAAGGCCCCCGCTTCAATTTTTTTATCATGAAAATAATTAGAAAAGTGGAACAACTGTTTCTGTGTGCTCACATGCCCCGAGCCGAATCAGAGGCACCTTGAGGACTTAATTCAAACCTAATTTGGAAAGCTCATTATTTTCCATGCCTTTAAGAGCAAGCGGAAAGAAGCGGAAAGAATCCCAACTCTTGGCACAAAAAAAAAAAAAAAAAACACATAGACTGCCTTCAACCAGTTACACAACCTTTGATGGCACAGCTGCTGTTGGCTTCACCCCTGACACACCAAACTGAAAAATGACCATGTTTTCATCCAAACAGTCAACATTGCATGACCAGAAAGCAGTAACACATCAGAATGTCCCTGGATGCAAACGGCGAGCCTTTATACTGGCACGTCCACTTCACGCTTCAAAATGTCACAGCATCTACAGGCCCACAAAGCTCCTTCTGTCAACACCTTCAGCAGCAGCATATGTTTGGTTTCTCTTCCTTCCTTATCTCATTCTTTAATTCACACTGTGTTAATATCAAGTACTGTACTGCATTGATCCACCGTGCCACAAAAGCACATGGCTGACAGACACCACAAACCTGCATAGCATGCACAGAACCCTTAGAAAATGTCCAAACTCACCGACATGTACGAGTTTGTGTAAATCTTTGAACACAGCACTGATTTGTCTAATGGCATTTTCTTTTATCAAATTGTGTTTTTTATATTTCCATTTTGAAGGAAAAAAAATCATAGTCTTTACAGTCCTTCAAAGAAACTAGCAATCACTGCATCTCTAACAAGATAAGGGAGCAGAATGTCATGACAGGATTTTAAATCAGTGCTGTAAATTAAATTTCTGAAGATGACATACTATTCAACGCCCATGGAGATGTATATTTTTAACCTTAAAGCTAGACCAGAGTATCCTCAGCCACCGTACTAAATATAACTCGCACGCAAACAGCAGCATGTCTGCCGTTTCCATCTGAGGAACGGTGGGAGCAGCAAAGAGCAGCAGGACACAGGGAGAGTGACCGAGTCAGAGAGCCGCATGAGTCAAGGGGGCGTGTGGCCACGATGGACCCCCTAACCCACATCGGACACACATTAGCTCTCCAATCACTCCTCTAAGTGTACAAGGACCGTGCTGAGTCCAGTCTGCAGAAGTGAGGGCAGGGATGGCAAACACTGCTGATGTGAGGAAACAGCAGCATGACTACAAGTCAGCCTCCACTCACAGTCTTCCTAGGGCCAACTCTACTAAGTCTTCCTTGACTGACGGTTTCAGCTTTAACCCCAGTAAACATTTTGGAGACCTCTGTGGGTTTGTCACAGCTTTTCTAACCCCTTAAGTTTTGTTTTTTGTTTGGGAGAGGGTTACTGTTACTTTAGGCAGCCCTAAATACAGTACTACTGCCTACAGCACGAGTGAAGAAAAGAACGAAATCGGCTGAAGTGAGGGGTTCCATGTTAATGAGCCCGTAGGCCTGTATAGCTCCAGCCTCCCCCTCTGTCATATCACAGCTACAGCCTTTAACATTCATAAAAAATGGATGAAGGACATTATGGCATGTAGCCATAAAGGCTGTTGTCAATTATCAACGTGAAACATGCTTATTAATCACAAAAGTGTGGGGTGTCCGTTCCCCCCCGGGGCTCTGCGTGAGGCGACGCGCTATGCCACCACGCTCTCTCATCTGCCTCCCATTGAGTCTTTGAACAACCTTCTAGCCTTTAACCCCGAAGGAGATAAAAAGTCATTTCAGGGGTTCCTGTTCTGCAGGCTCGCTGTCTTTCACAGCAGCCCTGACCCTGGGACCACCCCCACCCCCCCCCCGGACACCCCGTGTGCAGGCCAGCCTGTCAGTCACTTTGAAGAGTACGACCGGACACCGATCTTCGCAAGAAAATGGAAAGGAAATATGAAATATTGAAGCCAAGCTGGGGGCCAGCGTGTTCAGCTCAGGGCGAGTTCAGGACAACCCCCCCCCATAGGTGGTCAGGGAGGATGGGGTACTCTGCGATCTCCCTCTCAATCACTTCTCAGGGTGAGCGCTTTACGTGCTGCGAATGCTCATCACCGGCATCTGCTGCTCGGATCCGCATAAAATAAAGGTGACTTCAAGCAAGCAATTAAACAGAAGGCCGATGACCACACCTCCATTTGTGAAAATGTGGGAGAGTTCAATTAAAGTAAAGCCATTTTGGCGATTTCCTAGTGCACCAACAAAACACGCAGGCCAAATGCTTTTACGCAGCATCCCCCCCCCCCCAAGCACTACCTACCTGTGTTACATCCGCCACAGCCTGCACTATAAAGAGGGCAACATATTCTCAGCTGTGACAGCTGACAAAAATAACAACACTTAATCTGAGGATGATTTGTCCTTGTCGCTACATTAGGCTTTAGTCTGTGAGCTAAGGGTGGCTGCATACCAGGCAGTGACCTATCTCACACCTATCGTAAAGGCGAAGAGAAAAGGGAAATAATGTGAAGAGCCTCCTCAGCTCACATGCTAATGGCTAAGTATTGTTCTCATTTAGATGTGGGTCAGCTGGGTGCTAACTAACTAACAAACAGCAGCTGCTTCTGATAGAAACAAGGCTGGCTGCTTTGAAAGGCCCCATAGAGGGGATAAAGCCATTTCCTTTTTGGGTAGCTGCTGATTTGAAGCAGCTGTGGCCTCCCAGATGGGCCATCCTGACGGAAGGCGTGAGGTGTTGGTGCAGCAGCATGGAGGTTCACGCGCCACACACTGCCCTGGTCCAGGAGCGGACAGGAGCACACAGCGACAGGGACACGGAGGAGAGGCAGCGGGGACACAGTGCCCTGGTCCAGGAGCGGGCAGGAGCACACAGCGACAGGGACACGGAGGAGAGGCAGCGGGGACACACTTGCCTGACAGAGAGCCAGCCAACCCCCTTTCACACTTCCCCCCACAGATTCCAGAATATCTTGCAGCATGTCCACCGTTGTGATACCTCCTGTGGGCTCACTGGGGATTTTAACTACAGGGAGTTAGGAAGAGAGCAAAAAAAACAAAAAAACAAAACTGGTTCACAGCTTACGTAGAACGCTCTCTGCAGATGCCACCTGACTAATGAGGAGCGGCACATCCTACACGGGTATGCGATACCTTCAAGGACTGAGGAAGCCATGAAAATGAGAACTCCTTCTCACCATACGCTGAGATTTCTGATAAAGCGGAAAATCTGTTTCGGGACTGAACAAATGAATAAAATGAAGACTATACTAAAGGGTGCTCCAGAAGAGCTCACACACACCCAACGGGCTGCATGTACATGCCACACTCGGTAAAAGGAGCTCTGGATCATTGCAAGCCTCATTTAAGATTTTTTGAAATTACCAGAATGGAGACCCCCCTAGGGGAAGGGTGAAATTGAACTACTATTCATCTCTCACTTAAAAATGTCTGATTTCTGATTCTGCACATGAAGTGTGTTTAAACCGGAACGTCAAAAATTGATTCTAATTAATGTTTCCCTCAATAATTCAAATGCCATTTTACCTGTCATGGTCAATACTAGGTAGAATGTAAAATAGACATTAAAAACTGAAATGCTTTCACTTCTGTCTACAATTCTACTGGATATTCCATTCCATTAACCTCACTAGAAAATGACAGCAGTTAAACCATGCCTAAAGAAACAACCTTTATTTCTACTGTCCAAGGGTTATATATTTTTTTCTCTAACAAAAAAAGTTTAAATCAAGTACAGGAATCACTTAGCGCTTAGCAAGAACCTCAAAGATGTGCTTGCTGGGAGATAAAGAAGTTTAAGGCTGAAACCAAATCTGGTGATGACAGCGTGTGATGTAAAAAATAAAAGTAGGTCATTTAGAAAACAGGATAATTGTTCATCATAAATGATCCAGATCACAATGTTATCAGAAGAGGATCAAATACTAAATTCACACAAATGGAGGAAAATGCAAAGCTTTTTGACAAGAAGAACGACTATTACACTAACAAAAATTTCTGTGGGATGCACATTCAGTAAGGAATTTATTTGGAGGTGATCAGGAAAATCTTCCAATGCCTAAGCATAATCTAACTTTTGCTAGTTACCTCTAGCAAATCTAACCCTACATCTTTGAGGTAGCACCGACGGAAAGTAATATTTCCTCTAAGTGTGGCATTTCAAAGCATTTTAGAAAAGGCAGAGGCTATTTCCATTACCAGTAGAGAAAGTGAGTAATAATTTCAAAAGAATACATATCCATGATGAATGTTCCATAGTGGGTTGCTATTATTTAATGCACATAAAAGTATGTATAGTAACAATGTAGTTCTATAGCACAGGCAAGTAGTACTATTTAATAGTGTCATTTAAATCACATTCAACATCCAACCTAATGAATCCAGTTTAGTAAAAGTATAAAGTAGGAATGTCATTTATTTTCAAACATTTAAATGACTTCTGTCTTTATTCTACTATAGTACTCTTCACTAACCATTTCAGCAAAGGTATTCAGTGGGCCATAAAGAATTCAGTGTGCTACTGCTTATCAATACTTACTGTACTGTAACAAAAATTTTTCTTATGTTACATATTCAAATAATTATAATAACTATAAAAAATAACCACCAACACTGCCACAACCAGTACTAATAGCAAATATTGGTAGTTATTTTGTAATATAGTTGATTATTATTTTCCTTTTTGGTTTCCTTTTCAAATAACTGATAGGAAGACATTCTTGTGAATCATGGTTAACACACTGGGGGTGGCATGTTAGAATTTACCTCAGACTTCCAGGCCAAGGACACAGGATCTTCTCTATCACAGGTGTAGAAACTTTCTTGAGGACCTGACATAACATACACAAAAAGCCAGATCAACATGCAGCAAAAAACAGCGGCTTGATTATATATACAAAACACAAATATACACAAAAATACAAACAGGTTGGACAAGCAAACAATACTAGAACTGTTTCCTTCATTTGTATTCTGCATTCAAAAAAAATATCCAAACAGAATACACAGAACAGAATACAATACAAATAGTTTAGCCAAAAACCTTATTTTTATAAATACAATTTTTAAAAAATCCACACTGATAAATTCAAATAGCTCAGGGAGTGCAATTTGTGATACTGTTATTGAAAGCCATTGTCTGCATCAATACTTATCCGGCATTGTATTAAAATCACACATGTATGTTGAAATGAAAATTTACATGGGATGGAACAAAAATGCACTATACAAAATACAGACTACAGTATATATAAAGCAAAACTTTCCTAAAGATTCCTGTTTCATGAGCAAGTATATTCAGTGGGACAGCTAAAAATCTTTATTGTAAGGTGTTGTCTATTATACAGTATCCAGTCAGTTATGCATCCTCCAGAAAACTAACAAAGGGTAGCAGCTGGAGTGGAAAATCATGCAATAGAGTAGAACTTTTAAGAACACTGACTTCTCCCTGCTGCCTTCACCATTCTGCTAAACAGAGCATATTCTGCACTAGATACAGGCAGATAAAATCACCAGAGGACCAGCTGAGAGACGGCTCTCATTTCCATACCCTGTAAGTTATTCCCAAGCATACCCACCAAGGTGTGTGTGTGTGGCTGTCACAAAAGCACACTGTAGTCCAGCTGGATACCACAGAACGACCACAAGCCAGAACCAGAGCATGCAGATGGTCTTGTAAACCTTACGATCAAAACTATGGATTTTAGGTCATTTCAATCCTGCCTATGATATTGACATTTTGTTACATTTACTAGTTTTGGGGTCAGATCTTTGTATGCTTTATATATAAGGTGTGCTAGGAAATTTTCAACATAATACAGATTTTACTTTATCTGTAATACCTCAAATTAAGAAGTAAAAAAAAATCCATGCCAAAGTTCACTTTGAGTTTGAAGCCTGTGCCAGAAAGTCACCGGTTTGAATCCCATGACCAGCAAAGTAATCATGTCACTATTGGGCCCCGGAGCCAAGGAATGCTGGAAAAGTGGCCCACCCTGACCCTGCGCTCAAACCCCCAAATGGAGAGCAAGATGGAATATGGCAAAACCAAAACATAACTATCCATCTGTGATTGTACAAATGGCACATACCATTCTTATTAATAAGCATGACATTTATGAGTTTTCTTAAACATACACCTGTGTGTTTGCATAATTTCTGTAAGGACCACAGAAGAGTCTTTATTTTATGAGGAAAACCTAATGAACATTCAAATAAACATTAAAGTAAACACAGAAAACCGGCCGCGCTGCTCCTATCGTCGCTTCGCCACACGGCGCCGTCATTAGCTTGGCGTTTCGATACCTGCTACGTGCTGCGGCAATACAATTGACACAAAGATCTAATATCTTGGTTTATGATTCATAAATACAATTAGCAAGATTTGCATGCGATAGAACGGAACTAAATTTAAAAATTGTCTGAGCTAACTACGCTAAGCTAAACAACGTGCCTTAAATAAAAACGATCCCATCATAAAATGATAGAATAAACCGCACAGAAGGAGCCTGTCTGATTAATGCCAATCAGATTTTTCTGGTATTTAATAGCTCTGCTCTGTAAATAATCCTTAATAAAAGGTGCAACATCCACCCTTGACCTGTAACCAGCAGTTCTGACAAAGCGGTTAGCTAACGGTTAGCCGGCGAAGACTGTACGGCTAATTCCGCTGATGAAACGTCAGCAGACTATTTTTGGTATAATTGAATGGGGTATTGCTCCTGTTATTGTTCATTGTGATTTTCGAAATATACAGTTAACATGTTTTGCTTCGGATGGATAACCAGGACTGAACGTACCTGGATGCACCAGGGGGTTACCTGATTACGAATAGCAAAGTTTGTTACAAGTAACAGTCAGATAACAAAAAAGATAAGACATGGAAACGCGGTGTATTTTCATTGTGTACTGTGAAGTAGCCATAGTGACCAGTTCCGACTTGGCGAGAGCTATCACCTAATGTTTTATTTTAAAAATGAGTCCGTACCGCTTGTTCTTTCATCCAGTACGGGTGGATATCTTTAGCTGTTCAGCGCTGAACTTGTGATCGCCCATTCGCCAAAATTCAAAATACATCCACCAAATTCTGGCAAAACCTTCTGTAGTCCTCTACTTTATCTGTTGGTCTTAGTTTTATCAAAATATGTCAAATATTATTACTATTATGCCAAGAGGAGCATCTTGCTAAACAATTTCTAAATCATGTCATCATATATTTAGGCATTTACTTTAACAAAAAAAATTGATTAGGATATATACACTGTGTGTGTGTGTGTGTGTGTGTATCACATTTTGAAGAAAAAAATCAAATAATCCTATACAGAATGATAGAAGAATTGGTTAAGGAACATCCATCCTGGAATTCCTAGCTTTTAAATGGGCATTTATGGAGAGAAATTAAAAATCTAATCTGTTTTTGGTAGCCTGGAACAGCTTAGTATGTCGGACTGCCATTCAGGTACATCTGGTTTATTTGCAATTGCATAATAGGTGCTGCTTAAAATGGTTTAACACTTTGACCTTTCGGGATGTAACATCTTTACAATTATGTCTTTCAGTGAGCACAGTAGAGCTGATTAAAACTGGAAAGACTTTCTGTAGGCTAACTTGAAGGAACTCATGAATCTTTTTCCGGCTTGGCATATTTCAGGTAAGGAGAGTAACTGTAAATCCTTATATCCCTGTTTTAAACGACAATGTGTCCTATTCATCTTCGCTAAGCTTATTTAAAAGGAGCAAAAATGGACCCTAATAGATTCAGCCAAGATTTCACAGTAGCTAATATAAAAGTCATGAAGGCTCCATAGATGAGGTGAGATTTCTTTAAACTATAACATATAACAGCTACTTTGTTTTACATCACATTGTTGTTTAAGTATGTGTTTAAATTCAAAGGGTGGCACAGTGGTGCAGTGATTAGCACCATGGCATCATACCTCTGGGACCTGGGTTTGAGTCTCGGCCATGTCTCCGTATGTGGAGTTTGTATGTTCCCCTTTTGTTGGGGAACATTGTGTCATGGGGCTTCCTCTCTGGACTCATCCTCCACAATGCAAAGGTGAATTGTAGTTGCCCATGATTGTGCCTTTTGCCCATAGGCTCTGCAACCCCCACCCCATGACCCTGAATAGGACAAGCAGTTACAGAAAATGGATGAACGGAGTGTTGGATTTAGAATACAAATTAATAATCTGACCTTACTGGACAAGTCTGATCAGACATTATGGAGGCCAAAATCTCTGCAGCCTGTCACAGGATTACCAGAGGATGGAAAGCTCATCTAATAGGAACCCATACAGGTGCAGGTCCACTCTGCCTCTGGTTTAAAGATCTAGGTCCCCTCACGCCAGGAACAGGTTCTTGGCACATTCATTTAGAAAATGTTCCACTCTTAGCTTCTCTGAACTGATTTATGGCTTTTCTCCAGCCCTTGTGACAAATACTATGATGACCATGATGGCTCTCTGCTGTGACTCTGAATGAGTCAGAATACACGCACTCATGACTTAAATGCATAGAGTGAGAGGAGAGAGATTACAGAAGGTTCCATATCAATCCGGTGTAAACTGGGCCTCACAAAGTCTTATTAAGCTCCCTCCCCCAACAAATGTCCTTTACTCTAGTAATTTACTCTACCAAAGCCACCCTGCAGATAGGGACCAGGTATCCTTTAGGGCTGATTCCATCTCCTCCAGAAGAGAAAGCAAACAAAAAAAATCAGATTTTGAAAGGCCTTGTCCGGTCACCTTGCTTGGCTGTGAGATCAATGTCTCTTTGGCCTGGCTGTCTCAGCCATCTTCAGGAAAGCCAGGACTGTGTGGCCGGCCAAAGCCCCTATTGAGATGCAGGTACAGCACAAGCTGGGCTCAGCTCCAGTATGCCTTATGCTGGCTCTCTGACGTGTGCTTTCTGCAAGATGTAAATGGCTCAATAACCGCTTCCCTTCATAAAAATAAATTCATAAATAAGTCTCTGGGAGAATACAAAACATACAATTTGTGGAAAACACATAAAACAGTACAAAATTGTGTCTAGGTTTTTTTTTTTTAAAGCACAAAATTGTATATAATGAGCTATGATCAATTGCCTTTTGGTGTTTTGTATTTTATTTTTGCGATATTGAACTGTTTCACTGTTCAGTAAAAATTGTGCAATTTTGTAAAAGATGTACGTTATTTGCTTTTCCATTATGAGGTTATTTTGTGTCGGCTTTATTCAATATGAAGCTGCAGTTCCCCCTCCTCACCTTGTATTTCCTGCTGATATTCATGGGACAAGAAACCACTGATTTTTTTTTTTAAATAAATGAAAGTCTTATTGCATCAAAAAACTGGAAATTGGCTGTCATAGTACTAAGTGCCTGGCTTCGATATGCATTCCGGTGAGAATCTGCACTGGTGCGCTGCACGGTCCTGGTGCTCTCACCAGGTGGCACATTGCACAATCAGGCTCAGTCTGCCGTGGCCTAGGCTAGCGCTGCTTTTCCGTGGGTGATTCCTTCACTTTAAATGTGAAACATAATTGCACCTCCTACAGATGAACGATGTAGCAGTGCTTTGTTTCGCAAAACCATATCATTTGGATTATTTTAACACTTATTTAATTAAAATAAAGTTAATTAAAGTGATTAATTACTATGTAATAAGTGCATCTGTAGGAACAGAACCATGCAAGTGCTGTGACCTCATGAAATTAGGTGGTAGCTTTCGCCAATTCGGAACTGGACAGCTTTTATAATTAAATAGATAACCGGGTAATACCAGTACATAAATGAGAAAAAGTTATTGAATTTAGAAGATAAACCACGGGGAAAAGGAAATCAATGTATGCA